ACTGGAAATGGGATTGGTATGTGAGTGGTGATCTTATAATTTGCCACTCTGCTAAATCTTTTGCTGTACTGTCTTTTTCTTTTGTTGGTGTGAAGATAACCCCGGACTCCTAAAATAAGCTGCGTAGTGCTCCATCTATCCTCAACTGTTTTCTGGAAACTACTGTGTAAAAATGATGCTAAGTCTTCTTTAAAATTTTCAAGGAATTCTTCAGTGAAAACATCTGGACTTAGAGATTTCCTTCTCAGAGATTTCATTCTATTTTTTAACAAATGCTGCTCATTACCAGTATGACGTGCATTCTGTATTCCTCGGTGCCAGCCTCAATGCACCGTCACCTCATTTGCTCCTGGTCCTCACTGCAGTCACTGAAACACTGATGTTAATGTCATTTTTATTTTTTTAAAGTTTTATTTACTTAAGTAATCTTTACAGCCCCAAGATCAAGACTCAGATGCTCTTCCAACTGGACCAGCCAGGCGACCCCTTCTTAGAGGTTTTAAATTACCAATTCCACTTCCTTACTGTTTGTAGAACCATCATATTACCTATTCCATTCTGTTTTCATAGTTTGTGATTTTGGAAGAATTGGCCCATTTCATCTAAGCTGGTGTGATGAGTATACAGCTGTTGGTAGGAACCCTTAATTACCCTTTCAATGGCGTGGGCTCAGTAGTAACGTCCCTCATGTCACTGTGGAGATGGGTGATTTGGGTCACTGCTCTTCATTTTTATCACTCCTAGGAGAGGCTTATCAATTTTATTAATTTATCTAGAAGAACCAGCTTTTACTTTCACTGATTTACTATCTTGTCTTCCTATTTTGTTTCATTGATCTGCTCTTATCTTTATTAGTTCCTTCCTTCTGCGTACATTGGTTTAATTTTGCTCTTCTAGTCTCCTGAGCCTGGGACTTAGACGATTAATTTGAGACCTTGACTCCCTTCTAATGTAGGTGCTGACGACTACGAAATCCCCCCTCAGCAATGCCGTACATGCATTCCGTGTATTTTGACTATTGTATTTCCACTTTCATGCAGTTGTAAGTATTTTGTTTCCGAGATACCTACATCCCATAATTAAAGTGCACTGTTTACTTTTCATACATTTTAGAGTTCTGTTGTCTTTCTGTTAATAATTTCTAGTTTGATTCTACTGTAATGAAACAACACACTGTATGATTTCAAAATCTTTTCAGTTTCTTGCGGCCTGTTTTGTCAATAGGCTTTAACTTGGTACATGTTCTGTTTGCTGGAGTGGCCTGCACCTGTCAGTTAGGTGTTGCTGGCGGACTCAGCAGGGAGCTTCTCAATCACTGCTGATGTTCAGCCCCGCACTTCTATCCAGCACTCTGGGAGTGGGGCCCAAGTTCTCGCTCAGAACCGTGGATCTATTTCCTTTGTTCAAGTCCGACAATTTCTGATTTGTGTATTCTGGGGTTCTGTCACCTAGAGAGTACAAATTCAGGGTCACCTCATCTTCCTAATGGATAACTGCTAATGTTATGTGGTGTCTTTCCACCTCTAATAATTTTCCTTACTCTGAGCTATCCTGTAGTAGATGTTAACTCAGCGCCTCCTACTTTTGATTAACTTTATGTGATGCATATTTTTTCCATCCTTTGACCTCCTTGTACCCCACCTGTGTCACTGGATTTGAATTCATTGTGAGAGGCACATGGCTGGACCTCCTTTCTTCGTCCACTCTGCGTCATCCATCCATTCGTGTATTTAGACTCTTCACAATAAAGGTAATTAGTGACATGCTGCCAAGAAGTCTGCATTTTATGATCTGTTTTCTGTTTGCTTCCTCCGGTATTCACTTTCCGTCTCCAACTTCCTGCCTTCTCTTGTGTCACCTGGACCCTGTTCAGAGAAGCCCAGCGTAGTTTATTTACAGCATCTCAGACGGTCTCTCTCTGCACAGTTTTTGTCCTGTTTGTTCTGGGTATTAAAACATACACTGTGATACTTATTAAAATTGTTTAAAATATGTATTAAATTGCATTACCTTTAAAAAATAGGATAAAGAAATGGTCTTTCAATCCAGCGGTTAAAAAGGAAGGTATTCTTCTCTTGCTCGTTTTGGCTGAGAAATGAAGAAGGTTCAACCACACTGTCACCTTCAACCCTCCTTGTGTGCTCTGGGCCCTTCCCAGACACTCGGATCTCAGAGCCGCGTGTGAGGACCTGGATAATCTTTAACTTCTAAAAGTCTCTTGCTTCAGTTACTCTACTTGGCATATTCCTCAAGTATTAATATTTAAATTGACATGTCTGTCTAAAATTTTACATACTTGTTAGGAAGGTTCCTCGTTCAGCCGGGAGACAACCTTCGGATTTTCTTCCTCTGCCCTGTATGCATAACTCAACCGTGACTCTGAATGGGTACAGCCTAGCACTGCCCAAATGCACATCAAAGAGCTGTTTCTCCTCTGGGGTTTGAGGCTGGAGAACTGGGAGTTCACACCCAGACCCCTCTGACACTGAAGCCCACGTGTCCCCTCTCCCACTGTGCCAGGGGCTGCACAACTCTCAGCACCTACAGCCCTGGTCCACACTCGGTCAGCAGACCTCCAGTGTCCATACAATGACCGTTCATACGCTAATTTTAATTCCACATTCAGATGCAGAATTAGAAGAGCAACCGTCCAACATAAAATCCACCATGGAAGTATCCAAGGATTCATTTCTAGGTAGCAATATGGTCAAATAGCAGAGAAATAACTTTTCTGATTAGTGATAGCTGTTTCCAGGTTCCTTAAATAAAAAGTAGAAAGACAAAACCATTTGCTATAGTATCACTGCTATTTCCGTAAGATGGTTATGTCAGTCAGTGAGACAAAAACTTTTATCCCTACAAACCCACAAACTTGTTTTAACAAATATAAATTCACTACTAAAAATGTATCATTTCATAGTAATTACAAGAAATTATGTCTCAAGTTTCTAAATATTCAATTTCTTAGGTAACTAAAATATGTGGAAAATTTTTATACGAAAATGGGTGTAAAATTGTCAACGTTAAAATCGTAAGTCTGGTACAGGTACTGCCTTATGGTTTAGTGTCCAACAGTTCCTAAAGGTTACCGAAATATTTCAGGAGTCCTTCCTCTAGCTCTGGGACTGACCTGTAAGCATCACGGAAGGGTGGGGACCGTATACACACGCACATATCATACCAACCTAGTCCTGGAGCGACCCCCGCACGGCTCTCCCCATGGATGCTGGAGCAAGAAAACGAAAAATGGACACCTACCACGTTTCAGTACACGTCTACCTGGGCGTCGGCCACGGCCCACACCCGTCTCTCACAGATGGAGACTACAGCTGCGAGGCCAGGAGCAGCTCTGGGGGACACGCCGACGCTGACCTAGACGGCTACCTCTCACACCCACCTACAAGGCTGAAGAGATGAGCTACACACAACATGGCCAAGAAGGACTCATGTTACTCAGTAAAACCAGGAGCACTGAAGAGCACAGCACTCCCTCAGACCCTGCAGCAAAGGGAAGGAGAACGTAGGTAACCAAGAGAGCAAAGGAAATGAAGAGGGAAGAATGTGAGGCCAAGCAGCACTCCCTGATCCACAGACTCTATCCACTCTTCAAATACCACCATCAACACCACGTAGCCTCTTGAAAGGGAAACCAGAGGTGATGGGTGTGCCTGCTGGCACCAGGTCCCAGCCCGCGAGTCCATGCTGCTGGCATCCCACTCTGTCCTGGCGGGCCACCGGGAGCTGCCCTGTGGAGGCCCCCAGCCCTCGCACCCTGTGGTCAGGAATAAAAGAGGCCCCCAGCCCAAAGCTCTTGGAAGCAAGGCCCTGACCCTGCCCACAAGCCCCCATGTGCTGGAGTGATGGCCACCTCGCTGACTACAGCCATGAGAGGGACCCGCAGCAAGGACCCAGGTTCATGACCACAGAAAGCATGAGGTAACGAACACTGGCGTCTGCCTCTCATTCGGCTCAGCCATCTCTCGTCAGCGTTTCTCCTACAGAAGCACAGAGAGGTGTATGTATCAGGACATTCACACAGCACCTCATAAGAGGAGAACAAAGACACCATGTGAATATCTAACCAGGGATCAGAAGCTAGTAACTTACAACGTCCATACAACCCAATGCTACATAAACAAGCTGCAAATCAGCATGTTCGATTTTATCCCATTTTGTAAAATCGAACAAACATACCTAAAACCGTGGCCTATGTATAGATGAAAGCAGCAAGAGAAAGCCCATGTTGGTATTGAGGAGAAAGGCCTTCCTGTACTAAACCCCTCACAGCATGGCTCAGGCGGATGCGTGGCCTGCGTGTGCGCTGGCACCAAGGCCCGAACTACTCTTGTAAGAGGCCTTGTTACCACTTTTTATACGACACATTTTTAAAAGTTGTTCTAGAGCCTTAAAAAAAAAAAAAAAAAAAAAGAGACTGTCCCCACTGGGTTCCTCAGGGAAGTGGGTGTGGGCAGAAGCATCGCCCCCCACCGTCCCCCACAAGTAGACGGCCCGCCTGGTGGCTTCTGCCCGATTCTGATGGGCTTTCTGAGAGGCTTCTGCCTCCATGGACCCAGGCCGTTTCTTTCCAATATTCTCTGACTTCCATTTACCCTCCCTTCTTTAAGGTAAATTCTAAACTGTAAGAATTAATATCCAATTCTTATGTGTAATATATCTATAATAGGAGGTTTTAGAAAATGAAACACATTCTATTATAAAATAGGTTCTAATTTTTTCATTAAATGAAATCATTCTGATAATATGATAAGCAATTAACACACATCTTATTTTAGACAAAATATGACTTCACCTGCAGACAATGAAATGTACTAGAGCAAATCGGACTAGATTTTTTTCATGTATGTCATATCTTATACAAAGATGTTAAGATTTAAAATAACTGTCTCATACAATTTCCTTTAGATTCAAAGTTACTGCAATCAGGCTAAATGTTAATCACTGGCATACACATGTCTAAAATATATTAAAAATGCATCGACCTTTTCCACTATGATGAGGTCTCCAACTTGTATGTCTGAACTCTTAACTTGCACTTTACCTTAAAAAAAAGAAGAAGTATAATCAACTCAAGGGAACAACAGCACACCGAGTTAAAGTTTCAATCGACAAATAACACTTCAGAAATAACTTTTGGGGGGAAAAACACTAGAAATTTATCTGTAGTTATACTTTCAAAGTAAATTGATTACACAGAGACACAGTCAATAAAAACTGACTTCTCTTAGCTCCCGACTACAAATAGTTAACTGCCCCCAGTAAAGACGTGGGGCACGGGAGACAGCTTCAAGTGGATGGTTCTTCCCAAATCCGCCATTATTTCAGGTCTGGGTCCAGGAGTGACGAGCGGAGCAGCAGCCACATGACTTCATGAGTGGAGGACAGGAAGAAGTACCCTTGTATTAGCACTGGGAGCTGCACTGGGGACACAGAACTGACAGGACAGAGGTAAGGAAAACGATGTATCAAATCACAGTCAGGACCAGTGACTGATACTGATATGGTAACAGCTTTATTACAAACAGTGATTCTTCCACATGATCAGTGTGTAAATTCTTACATCATCTAGATCACATCTAGTGTGCAAGAATAATCTACAAAACTTAACACATAAGACTCTAACAGAACGATAACACCATACAGAGGAGATGAAGTGCTGGATACGTAATTTGTTTCTACGTTAGAAACAACACTGACAGATGCTGACTCTCTCCCTGCACTCTGAACCCTCCCCTCCCTCCTCGCCTCTCCTCTGTGAGTCTCCCTTCAGAACTACCAACGGCCTTGTGGATCTATGTGTACCTTTCTGCGACCACTGTTTATTACATGGGGCAGGGCATATGTCTTCACATTCAGTTCACTCTGAAAGCTAACGGGACAACAGGTAAGCCCACATCACATTATCAAAAACTCACATTCCCTGTCCCACTACTGGCTTTCAGACCACATTCAATCTACTACAAGCTTATTTTCTAAATACTTCTTAAAAACAGCTCAGTTTCAAGAGTACCAAAACTGTTCCGAAAGAGGTGTTTTGAGGATATCAAAAAGTTTTGTAAATATTTTATTTTTCTATATTCCTCAATTATACAATAAGCACATAAGGAATGGAACTATTGGGGGAACTATATTTTATTCATCTTATAAAACAGCAATATTTGGGGGCGCCTGGGTGACTCAGCTGAGCATCCGACTTCAGTTCAGATCACAATCTCAGTTTGTGAAATCAAGCCCCACGCCAAGCTCTGTGCTGACAGCGTGGAGCCTGTTTGGGATTCTCTCTTTCTCTCTGCTCTGCCCATTCCCCACTTGAATGCTTGGTCTCTCAAAACTAAATAAACATTTTTTTAAAAAAGACAATTCTGGCATCTTTTATTTAAAAAAATAAAATAAAATAGAGCACTACTATTCTTGAGAATTACTGTGAAACAAATCTTCAGATATCTTCATAACTGGTAAGTATGTCTCCTAATAGCCAGAAAGTATAATTACAGGAGAATGTCTATTTGAATTATTTTTTCATTTGGCCCCTTCAAACTTCTTGTCTGTACTCCCAATATCGTGGTTTCTACAGCTACGCACCAGGCAGTAAAGATACTGTATTCATCTCATTATTTTTGAGTATTACTCAATAGAATTTCTGTCTTATCACTTAGTTTTATTTTCTCTCCTACTATCCATTTCACTTTTCCTTCCTTCTGTTTTTCTATATTCTCTGTAATCAACCCATTTAAAAAGGAGAGAAACAGCTATAATCGTAAGATATAGTAAGCATAGTAAATAATTTTTAAACACTTTGAAACAGAAAATATATCCTTTTCTGACTTTGATCACGGTCTTACATTTCTGAGAAAGAGGTACTGTTCTGTCATGTCGCAGACACAATTTATATTTAATAGCCTTTAATTTTTAGGCATTATATAGTGACTTTTATTCATTTCTCTGGAACTTACTTGCAAGGACATGTTTAAGGCAAACAGGTGATGGTAAAATGCAGTGCAGAAATTCTCACGTGAATAAGACAACAAACACAAAAAAGGACAGGCTATCAGGTCAAATCGGTAGGGCCACCCGCCCCTGTGTTGGCTCGCAGTGCACCTTCCTAACAGTGAAGAATTCGCCACACTGTTCGGCAGCTCTTGGTCCTCTGGGCATTCTCATCTGTGTGCAGGGGACGGTCTGTACCTCCTGCACAGCCTCGGCCACATGAACTCACAGCCTTCTGTTCTCTTTCTTCAAGAACAGCGGGGGGTTTGGTATTAATAAGACATTAATTCTTCCTTAAATTTACCTATAGATTCAATGCAATCCCAATCAAAATCCCAGCAGGCACTGTTATAGAAATGGGCAAGCTGATTCCAAAAGTCACTTCAAAATACACAGGACCTAGACCAGACAAACAACTCTGAAAATGAAAAACAAAGTTGAAAGGAAAACACCACCTGACTTCAAGTTTTATTCTAAAGAAACAGTCCTCAAAAAGGAGTGATGTTAGCATATAGACAAATGGATGGAGTGGAAGAGAGAGAGAAAGAGAATCCAGAAAACAAACCCAAACACAAAATACAACTGATTTCTGACCAAAGTAGAAGGCACTGCAGTGTGACGAAGGTCGCCTTTTCAGTGAGCTGTGCGAGAAACATCTGCTAGCCACATGCAAAGAAAGCCCCTGTGTGCACACCTGGTGCCAGCAGAGTCTACTCAAAATGGATACACATAATGCAAATCCTTCTAGAAGGAGAAACACAGGAGAAACAGAAAACCTTTGTGAACTTGAGTTAGGCCAAGAATTCTTAGACAGGGAACTAAAAGCACAGTCATAAAAGAAAACCTGATAAATCAGAATTCATCACCTAGAGTGTTACAGGGGCCGCACACAGTGCAGAGGTGTAAGCCCAAGGAATCTGAAAACCAGCTGGACTTGGGCGTGCAGAGGAGGGACTGGAGAGACAGAAAGGGTGACCACCTCGCTCCGAGACAAGGGGCCTCGAGCTCTGGTTGAAACCCCCACCATGTGACAGGGGCCTCAGAGGGAGAGGCGCCCAGAGAAGAGCCCGGCCCACCTGGGGGTGTCTGTGGCCAGAAGGTCGAGGCACAGATGCGCCAAGTCCCGGGGTGCTGAAGAGCATCCCAGGGAAGTGACAGGAACACAGACAAAGGCCCCACGAAGCCAGTCCCGGAGCACATGGGGCTCTGTTCAGACTGGGAGGCCCTTGGGGCACGGAGGCCCCCTGGGGACTGCTGTGGAAGGTAGGGTGCAGGGGCGCTGCGGGCCTGGGAGGTACCATGCACTCAGGCCAGGAGATGTCCTGCCAACAACACTGGCTGGGGACAAACGTGGCAACAAAACGGGCAACGCCCTACCCTCGGGAACCTTGCACCCCAGTGAGCACACAGAAAGCACAGGGAGAGAAAATCCATCACAGCAGGAGCTGTGTTAGTTACGGCCTAGGAAACACTGTTTTGGGGTGAGGGTTAGAGAGCATCTTGCTGAAAGTAACAAATGCTGCCTTTTAAACTTTTGCCAGTAAGAATCAAAATAGTTTTAAAAAAACGTTCTTAAGCAATAAAAAAAAGTTGGGGAGGGGCCAAGACGGCAGAACAGTCTGGAAGTCTGTTCGCATCTTTTGTCTCTGAGTGCAGCCAGATTGCCACCAAACCATCACGCACACCTAGAAAACGGACTCGAGGAGTAACACAACAGTGTGCACAACTTGAATCACAGAACTCAGCAGGTGCGCGGAGCAGAGAGGTGATTTGGGGGAGACAGGGGCTGTGGAGTGCAGGGAGGTGTTTCTGCTCATGGAGAGAGGACGGAGATGGGGGGAGCTGGAAAACCAGCCCCCAAAAGCAGCTGGAAAGAATGGCCTGAATTAAAAAAAAATAAAAATAAAAACTAACATGCTCAAGATAAACACCATATTTTTTTCTTATTCTATCAGTAAAAAAAATACTGGACAGCTTCAGAAAGAATATGGAAATAATGGAATACCGTGGTAAGACGAAACACTGAACGTTCCGCATTAGACTGCTTCCAAAATGACCTCACGATCCAACAATCTCTAGCAGGGGCGCCCAGGGGGCTCAGTCAGTTAAGTGTCCGACTGCGGCTCAGGTCATGATCTCATGGTTTGTGGCTTGCAGCCCGCGTCGGGCTCTGTGCGGACAGCTCAGAGCCTGGAGCCTATTTCAGGTTCTGTGTCCCACTCTCTCTCTCTGCCCCTCCCCAGCTCACGCGCTTGCTCTCTCTCTCTCTCTCTCATAAATTAAAAAAAAAAAACACAAAAACATAAAACAGTCTCTAGCAGCCATGTCATTACCAGTGAAGAGTCCAGAATTGCCCAAAGAGACCAAGCGCACAGACTTACAGCCACCCAGGGCACACGTCTCGTCCAAAGCAAATGCAGAAATAAGTATCAACAGCAACTGACCACATTCACTAAATAAAGATTTTATAGGAAAGTAAAAGGGTTTAAAGAATTTAGTAAGCATCTCAATACTAAATATTTTATCAACTGACATACAAATGAAAATTATATGGTCTTAGTACAGACAAGATACTTCAAAGCCTTGGTCTGCTGGTGTTTGCGTAAGAGAAATATCCAACCTCTGTTTTCTGTGGTTAGAAAGACATTTTACACATCCACCAAATGATATAATACAAAATACTATTAACACGATCGGTTGATAATTAACAAGTTGTAAGACTCTCAATCACGAAAACCAGAAACTTTACAAAAAACAAGCTGCCCCTGTCACAGGCCTCCGTATACGTGAATATCCCAATGCCCTCCATGACTCTGCATGGTTAAGTTCTATTGAAAGGGATATGACCTAAACATGGGTCAAAATCATCCATCGTCTCTCATGTCCTCTAGCTTTTCGATAATACTATGGTAGTTTCTTGCTGCACAAATACTCCCAGTGTGAACACTAACTTCGGGCCTCAGTACAAGAGAAGCCACAGGTGCGGACTGTAAGCAACCACAGGCCTATTCATGAGGTTTCGATGCCACTGGTCTAATTCGTGAGCAGAAAGAA